GAATTACCAGGAGGCAGTTCCCTCCATGCAGGCGACACTGGTGGATAAAACTGATGCATTCCTTGAAGTGTCTCTTGCTAGCAGGGAAAATAAACCAGATGGTGTAAGGATTTCAGGGATGGAACAGGATCTTTAGACTGCAGGCAGAGCGCGTTTGAGGGTGAAGCACTAACATCAGCTGCCTGTTGCTTTACAGGCACCACCAGCAGCTGCTGAGGCCTGAGCAGCTCAGTGCTGTTGTGTCCCCCCCGTGCTGGGGACAGGAGGGGGTGTCATTGTGCAGCTGTGCTGGGGATGTGTGGGACTGCCCTGGGGTTTGTGCTGGGGCTGCTCGTGCCTCCAGCCACACCAGTGCCCTTGGCCAGCTCCCTTCCCTCGCCCTCTCTGCTCCAGGCACCTCCCGAGGGGATGCTCGTTGCTCCTCCATCGGAGCTCCAGAGGGGTTGCCCCATCCCTCGCCCCAGGGCCAGGACCCCCTCCCCAGGGGTTACTGAGCTGGGATGCTGTTGGGGTCCCAGCACTGGGGCATCGTGCCTCCAGCTGGTGAGTCACTGCACTTGAGCTGGAAGCAGTGCCCCAAAGGTTTGGGGTGCCCTGAGCCCCCACCCCTGATGGCCCTGCAGACCCCAGCCCTGTGTGTGCCCCAGGGTACTCACATGTTGGCCTCGGGGGTGTCGGGCAGGGGGATGCGGAGGTAGGTAATGTCCTGGAAGACACAAGAGGGAGAGGAGGAACTCGGGTGCTGGTTTTGGGGTAACAGGGTCAGTGGGTTTGGCAGTGCCTTTACTCCTCATCCCAGTGATGCCCGTGGGGCAGGACGGATCTCCCTGCGTGGGGAGAGGGCTGCAACCTCCCTTGGCAGGGGGAGGGCAGTGGGGGACAAGTGGCTTGTGGCAGAGGGTGGGAAACCAGACGAGGCTGGAGAGCTGGAATAGTTTCCCGTTAGTGTTCAAGGCCAGGTTACAGTCACAAGACGGGCAGTTTTCCATGCCGGGGGGCTGCCCAGCTCCTCTGGGATCACTGACCAGGGAGAGGGGAAGGGTGTATGTGCCGTGGGATGCTCAGAGGAGGAAGAAAGATGCTGCATCATGGAACGAGCTGCAGAGATCTACGCGGTGGCGTTGGGTGCGGGACCCTACCTGCAGCAGGGGCTGGGGAGACTCATGGATCGAAATGATGTGGGTGATCTTGTTCCGGCTTAACTGCTCCAGGTCTTTGGCATCTGAAGGATAAAACCAGGTATTAGCAAGTATATTTCTTATCCTTCTCTTCCCACAAGCACGTTGGCTGTGCTCCAGCAGACAGCCCAGCGTGCAAAGCCTTGATCCAGAGGGTGGGCTGCATCGCACCCCCCCAGCCCCCCGCACGCTGACACAAATACGCAAATGCACCCTGGAAATCTGGAACGCGAACCCCCTGATCCCAAACCTGACAACTCCTCCCTCCGAAGGCACTTGACCTCGCTGCTTGTGCTGGGGTGAGAATTCACATCTGCATGGAAGAACTCCCTCCCTCGCAGGCCGGGCAGCTTCCCGCCTGCCTGTGCTTGTCCCCAGCTGGGGAGGGGACGTGCCCTCTGCCCGCACCTCCCCTGCGCAAACACCCACGTAGCAATGGGATTTGGGGCAGCCTGAGGGATCGGCATCACCTCGTGACCTGCAGAAGTGGAGCTGCAGTGATTTGTACCAGCCCTGAGTGTGGCTCAGTCTGACCCCCCCCGTAGCAGAAAGCCCCTGAGCAGTGCCTTGCAGCACGCTGTGCGTATCCTCTCGCGGTCGCGCGTGCAGAAATCGGGTACCCTCAGCTCTCTGGGGCAAGGACCTGCTTCAGGATCCCTGGCTGTGATGCTGGTCACTCGTCCAGCACAGCGGTGGTTACGCTGGGAGGGGAATGGGGTCGTCTTGGGGGCTGGGTGGTTCCGTTGCCATCTCCTGCACAAGCTGCCGGAGAGGAGAACTAACATTTTCCCATCTCGTCACTTTGGGTTTCTAAACTTTCCCGTGGTGTAAGACCTTGGCTCGGGAATCCAGACCGCAGTGTGCCGACAGCATGATGTGAATTTTAATGGGACCGAGTCTCGAGAGAGACACTCCGCAGGGCAAGCCATGTGGTGTGTGCGCAGGGAGGGAGGGGGGGACCCTCGTGGGGACCTGCCCAGCACCTTCCCTCCCGCCCTGGGCAGGCAGAGTGATGGCAATTAGTGACCCCAGTGTCAGGGCGTACGGTGGCTGGAAAAGACTTGATGGAGAAAATGCCTCTGGGAGCTGCCAGGCCGGAGGGCTCTGTTGTCGCCCTGGATCTCGGTAGGGCGATGCTTGGGTGGCATCAGGCCAAGACCCCATGGCTGGGGCTACTCACAGGAATACCTGTGACAAACCTGGGAGCCAGGTGTTTGGTGTCCTACCAGCTGCAGCTCCCCCAGCCCAACCCAAGGTGCTCCCGGAGGCACAGGGCTGTCCTGGCCAGGGCTGCTGCCCCGGTTCCAGTGACATTTTCTTAGCAATTCCCACCAGGCATCCGTTAAGGCAACCAAGGCGAGGGCAGAGCGTTTCTGCCTTGTGTTTCCCCATCCCGGTGCCCCTGCTGCTGCCAGCACAAAGCAGGCGGCAGAGCAGCGCGTGCGTGGGTGCTGGCAGGGCACGGGGCAGCGTTTGCAGGCAGGGAGGCACGAAGGCGGTGCAAGCAGGCGTGCTGCGGGGTTTGCACCGTGGTGTGGAGGTGCAGATCGCTCCCTGCAGCCGAGGAGCCCTTGGCACAGGAGGAGGCAGCCTGAGTTCACCCCACTCTTTGCTGTGTCTGTCCGTGCTACCCAGCTGGACGGCTCAGCACCTCCATCCGCTTAGGTCTGAGCTCCCCGTGCTCCCCCTCCCCAGGGACAGGCAGGGGGGAGACAGGGGAAGGGGCTCTGCCAGCTGAGGGATGTCCTAACTGGGCTCAAGCAAACTGGGATCATGGGGTGCAGGATGGGCGGGAGAGCAGCATGCATCCACCAGCTAGAAGATGAGGCGTCGTGTGCTCATGGTCCAGGAGACCCCCCCAAGCCCTCCCACTGCAGCTGGACAAGCCCGGAGAAGCCAAGTGACCCCTACACATCCCACCCGAGGGCAGCACGGGCAGCAGGCACCATGAGGGCACGTGAGCAGGGAGCTCCCTCGTGGCACCAAACTGTGGGCCGGGGCAAACCCAGCTCCCCAGGGCCGGAGGACATCTCTGCGGCGGCAGGGCTCCGCTTACCGATGAAGT